GAGGGTCGGAGCGGAAAGGGGGGCGGGGAGATGTCCCGCTGGCGGGGAAGAGGAGGGTCGGAGCGGAAAGGGGGGTCGCGCTCCCCCACTTACGTCCTTATCAGGCACCCAAGGCGGCTCGTCCAGGCCGAAAGGGCTGCGGGCGGCGTGGTGCTCTGGCACCATGCGGAGCCCGCTGGACGAGCGAACCAGCTTCTTTCCATCACAGGCCTCCCCGCCCGACATCTTTCCCACAACACCACCGCTACTAGCCCAAGCAACGAACGGCAGCGCACCGCCCAATCGCCCGTTACTTCCCTAAAACTGATGCCGCTCTCTGCCAATGAACTCTCCGACTAGTGACCCGCCCACTACTATGTTCACCCAATGGGATGAGGCCTGCCCAAACTCTCAGCCAATCCCCTATCGCAATGTAGTACCGCAGTTAAGGCGCATGCGCAGCTCGAAAAACCCGACGGTAACCCCGAAAGAGGAGGAGAATCCGCTTCACTCGCGCCCGAGTGTCTGTACCCGGACAAAGCCTGTAACCAATGAGCGACTCGGAATGTGCGGAGGGCGGAACCAAGGCCTGGTACCTCCGGAAGGCCACGACTCCGAACACTCTGATTAGCCGGCACTTCTTTAGGGCTCTGAATAGACTCTCTGGGATTGGCTTGACCCAGACCCCATCTGATTGGGCTTTTCGACCGCTTCTCTGATTGGTGTGCGCCTTGCGCGGCTTCAGACAAATATCCTCGGCTTCGCGGCCATCTATAACTTCGAGGGCGCTAATCCCGTTAGCCTTCTTGCCCTCTGATTGGTTGGCAAGCTGCGAGGGCTCAGGGCCAGAGTGGTTGGCCTTGGCCGTGCGAAGACTCAGGCAAGTCACTCCCTGATTGGCTAGCCGTAGCGCCCTTGCTGGTGACTCGGTTTCACCTACGCGCCGTATGGTCCGGGAGCGCGGGTCGCGATTTGTGAGGCTTCCCTGGGGAGAGAGTTGGAGGGTGGAGTCGTGAGGAAGCGTCTGGAAAACAATGGGCGGGGCTTCACTTTGGAGGCGGGGCCGGGTGCGGCTGGGGTAGGGAAATTCTCCCCTTCCTGCCCCGGGTCAGAAATTGTGGGTGTGGCTGTTTTACCGCCCCACCCCCACCGTTATCCATCCCCGGTCCCGCCACAAGCCTCGGCAAACCGCCTTTCCGAGGGGCTCCCGCCCTGCCCGTGCGCGTGCCGCGGCGGGGGCTAAGAGACGCTTCAGACTCTCCCTGTGTTGTGAGTCCCGATGGCACGGGCGGAGCGGGCAGCACCGCTCTCCTGCCTGCGCTGTGGGGTGGGGCGAGCCGGGCCTCCTCAGCGCGGGTGTAGTTTTTTACACTACCCCGGCAGGGGTGTGGCGGGCCTAGAGCCTCACCCAGGGCTTTGTAATTCCTGGCAGGGGCTGTGGGGCATCTCGCCCTGCTGGGAGGCATCGCTCCCCGCGAGTGGGAGTGTCTGCGTCCGTGCCTCCGGCTGCTCTGGTTTGTGCTGCGGGGTCAGCGGCAGTGCAGCGCCGTGGTGGCTGAAGCCCCATGTGTAGACCAGGCTCAGTGTCACCCCCTTCTTGCTCCACAGATGGCAGCTGCACTGCTGTGCCTTGTGTAGCACTGTCACCTATGAAGTGGGCTTTCCTCAGAGGTGTCTGATTCGTGGGGACAGCCCCACTCCACAGTTGCCAACTTTCACATGGTAAATAAGCACCCTGACTTTCACAGTAAGTCAAAAATCAAGCTCATCCCATTTCAAAACAAGCCAATCCCTAAGAACCCCAAGATGGTATTTGACTAGATTCCCCCTGGTGTGCAGTCTGGGACTCTGGTGGGCCTGCTGTGCACCCCTGACATTCTCCCCCTTGCTTTCCCCTCCCCCCCCGCCCTTTGCCCCTGCTTGCCGGGAGCCAATTGAGGAGGGGAAAAAAAAGAAGCAACAAGCTACTAGCCAACAAACAACTCACAAGCCAATTAAGCCAAAAACAAGCCCAATTTCTGTGTTTTTTTTTTTTTTTTTTTTTTTTTTTTAGTGAGCTTGCCATGTCTGCCCCACCCCTGGAATCCCAGGGGAAAGGTGCAGCAGGGCTGTTTGGCATATGTCAGGGTTTCATCTCTTCAGTTTGTTGACGTATTATTTGAAGTCCAAGATATTCACGCGCCCCTTACTTTTATAATAAATGGAACAGCAAGAGAGTAGTGCTGATAACAGTTACCCTGTATAACTTATTTGTGTGGATGTTTTGTGGTTGACCGAGAATACTTGTCCTTGAACGGTAAGGATGGGCAGGGAGGTGTGGCATTTTTTGTGTCTATTTCAATTGCAATAACATTTTCAATGCCTTGCAGTCCCTCAGTTGTCTTTTGTGACATCCCCTCCAAGCAGGGTTAGACCCACCAAACGCAAAACAGTGGTTCAGAAGATTGGTCAGGGTTCCAAGGGAGGAGAGGAAAGAATAAGCACCCATTTATTTCTTTTTCTTCCACACACAGTTCTCTAATGCTGAAAAAAACCACCTCCTGCGTGCCCACAACCTTCCTTGGAAGAATTCAGGTTTTTCACTTTGAAGACCTGGTCTCTCTAGCTTAGTGGTTTAAGTATCCAGTTTAATATCTGAACTCCCCAGGACCATAAATTCAAATACCTGCTGAGCTGGTTCTCCTCTTCATCTTTCTCTGATGATGCATTCCATACCATGTAGTTTAGTGCATGTAAATTAGATTTTAAAAGCCAAGATCCTTTCTACTCCATGTGAATATTAAAGATCCTAGAGCACTTTTCATAAGCAGAGGTGTTTGTCCTCATGTCTTGCTCAAAATTTCCTTTCCCTTCACACTTGTATGATGCAGTGGCTGCATTTCAGTGGTACTGTGGGTAAAGTTTGTAAAGTGCTTTGGGATCCTTTTGGTCTAAGGGCACTGTGCCCATCTTTAATTATATTAAGCTTAGCCCTTGAGACAGGTATTAATCATAAGTTTGTTTTAAATAGGTCTTAATTTTAATGAAATTATGTTTAAATCACTGACTTTTTAATGTATTAATCCTGCTCTCAGGACCCATTTCCATATATTATGTATATGTACCCCAATAATTGGACCCTTATTTTTAAAAAGCAGATTAACTGGGGAACTAAGTCTTGTAAATATGTTTTATACTTGTCTGCCATTACATTGCACAATCCATTATATAAATAATAAAAAGCCTTATAATGCTACTTTGTTATATAGTTATAGCAGATGACTCGGCTTTTCTTTTTTAGATCAAAGTTTCAAAAACAATTGGATTGCATTATGCTGTAGTATTTAGTCACCCCATGTTTTAATAAATCAAAACAGTTCTGAGTAACAGAAATATTTATAGTCATGGATTATTTTATATTACATTTGTATGATTTTATTTCTCTTTGAAAATGAAAAGCTAGGGAGGTGTACAGCTGTAGCTCAGCTACAGGCAATTGAAATAATTACCAACTGTTCCTTTCATCAGTGTTACTGTAATCTGTCTCCAGTAGGATGTAGCTACAGCGCATCTGAGGAGAATTTCCATCATGTGAATGGCTAATTACATTTTGGGCTATAGATTATAGACAAATATATTGTTAGGAATTAATAGTAGTATTTGAATGTCCATTTTTCCACAAAATTGGTCAAATGAAATAAATACTTATGATCTGTATTTCATGTATGTTTCATAAGACTTCAATTTACAGGCAATCACCAGGCTCTGTACTCACTACAGTACTGTATCAAGACATGGATTGGGACCAGTTTGACATGAACCCCAAAGTGATAGCTGCTGTTAAGAAAGGTAATTTAATCCACCTGTATGTACATTCCTGATTTGCTATTACCATAAAATCTACCTGTACATAATCATATCCATACTGGAAATGTAATTTAAACACTTGGTGAGACAGTGTGTATTTGCAAGTGATACCCTCTTCTCCCAATGATCCAATGGTGATCTTTCCAAACAGCTTTATAATCCGCTTTTGATAAACCCCAAATGCATGCTGCCTCCCATGTCAAAAGCTTGTCAAGAGTAGTGTCCTGGCTTCCAAGCAGTCAAGAAGAGGTTGGAATACTGGAGTTTGTTCTATTAGGAAAGAAATGAACAGACACTGTCAGGCTATCCTTTTCTAATCTAGTCAATTTTATTTGCAATGTGCATTTAATTTCTGTTGTTGTGCCTTCTTCAAGAAGAAGTTAAAAAGCAAAAGCAGCCACAGTTTACACACAAGTAACTCCACTTTGGCGCACCAGAAGAACATTATAGTGAAATTGCTTCTCTATCAGAGCCTTCTCTCAGGCACCACTTCCATCTGATGTTAAAGCTGATAATGCTTTAAAGCCTTCCAAAAAACATTAAAGTCCCTTTCCATTCAAAATCACTGATAATCATGATAATATAAACAAAACTTGTAACTTTTTTTAACCAGTACTCTCAGTAAATTAACAATAAGTGGAAGTCCTTCTCTTTTGTAAGGTTATAGTCAATCCAAAAGCATTTATGAGAATTCCTCTAATTTCAGCTAATATAAAATCAATAAAAGAGATTTTGAATCTTTCTGGAGCAGACTTGCAAAGGCTGACAAAACTGTCCAGTATGGATGTACAGTGCTTACTGAAAACAGTCTCTGGTACACTGAGGAAAAGCTGTATGCTTACAGGTAATACTGTCAATACAAATAAAGTGTTTTATTTACATAATTAAAAACCGTTCTAGACTTTTGAGCTATAATGAAAGGTTTAAATTTATTGCTCAAAGATCTATTGTTGAAGTAGAGCATAAACCATTTTTTGTATAGCAGGTAATAGTATATTGATAAATTATTTCTTAGTCAAGTCAATTATTCAGGAAAGAAAAAGCTGTAAGTTCCTGTTACTCTTTAGTACAGTGGTTCTCAAACTAGGGCCGCCGCTTGTTCAGGGAAAGCCTCTGGTGGGACGGGCTGGTTTGTTTACCGGCTGCATCCACAGGTTCGGCCGATTGCAGTTCCCACTGACTGTGGTTTGCTGCTCCAGGCCAATGGGGACTGCAGGAAGCGGCACGGGCTGAGGGACATGCTGGCCGCCCTTCCTGCAGCCCCCGTTGGCCTGGAGCGGCGAACCGTGGCCAGTGGGAGCTGCGATCAGCCGAACCTGCGGACGCGGCAGGTAAACAAACCAGCCCGGTCTGCCAGGGGCTTTCCCTGAACAAGCAGCGGCCCTACTTTGAGAACCACTGCTTTAGCGGATGCTTTTATATTCCTAAAGGGCCTGATCCTGTGAAGTGCTGAATGTAAATAGAAGTGGATTGTACTCAGTCTTATAGGGTCAAATAATTCCCCTACATGGAAAATCTTGGCTGGGGGACAAGACACTGCAAGTTTCCCCTCTTAGAATTTCCACCAGAATATTTCATAGGGCAGGGGTTGCCCTCCTCTAATGGAATGGGCTAGGAGTTGAGCAATTGAATCCCCCATTTCTTGTTCTCTGTGTGGATCTTTAAAGCTCAGCCAGAAGTACAGAGCCTTCTATGTTTTCATACTGCTTCCTGACCCTTAGCAGCCCTCCTCCACTTAAGGTTGTCAGGTGTTCGATTTTCGACCAGAAAGTCCAGTCAAAAAGGGCACCTGGCAGTGTCCAGTCAGATGTACTGACCAGACACCAAAAGTCCGGTTACCGCGGGGCAGGGGGAGGAATGGGGTCATTAATCCATGCCAGCCCTTGCTCAGCCGGGGCCGCCTTCTACCTGCAGGCAAGCTCCTTGTCAGGCTGCAGCAGCTCTCATTTCAGTCCTGGAGCAGAGGGAGCCCAGCTGGAGGGGGAAGTGTGGGGTGTGAGCAACAGGGGCGGGGCCTTGGGGGGAAGAGGTGGAGCAGGGGGCGGGGCCTCAGGAGTCTGGTTACCAGCCAATAGAAAGATGGCAACCCTACCTCCACTTCCTGGTCATATCTGCTCCATTGAAGTCATGCAGACAAGATTTTCCTTGCTGCAGCTTTTCCCCAAAAGTCTCCTTAAAGGACAGGAAGAGGGGAAAGTTCTAGAGCATGGAGGGGATCAGCGTAAATGCAAGATGTACCAATTTACAAGCAGATTCCTCAGTGCATAGATTGTTTATTGGGAGGAAAACAGGCTAAATCATGCTTACATCTGGAAAAATGTCAATCATAGCGCTACCTGGAATGTGGTATTGTCCCTTATTAAGAAAATGCTAAATAGAACTCTTTCTTTTAAAAAATTATCCTCTAGCACTTCAGCTGTACCAAGACAAAGATCACTGCACATCCCAACACCAGAAACTAAGCCTGGGTTGCTCAGTACTAGATAGCTTGTTAAGAGGTGGCATTCCTGTGGTGGGGATCACAGAGCTTGCTGGTGAGAGCTCTGCTGGGAAGACTCAGATTAGTTTGCAGCTGTGCCTTTCTGTGCAGTATCCTTATGAATATGGAGGATTAGAATCTGGTAAGTACAATACACTTTCAGATTTACTTATTGTTTTAAGGGAGTATGCTAGCTGTAAGATCAGTAATTTTGTGTAATTGCAGTAAATATTTGTATCCGTGGATTTCTGATCATTTGCAGCATCATTAGCAGTAAGATGAGAAACTGGGCATTTGGAAAAGAAAAGCATGCTGTGTACAACTGCTACATCCCCCACATAATACTTTCCACTCCTACTACTGGCTGCTGATGGCACACACATTAGGGTGGCTGTGTGAATAGAATCAGACATGACTTTCCATTGAGTTATGATTGACTTTTTCCCTCAACAATCAAGTAGTGGGAAGTTGGTTAATCAAAATGCATAAGGCATATACAGAAGGAGTGTGTTAGGTTTCAGCATCATGATCACCCCCTGACTCTTCATGAAAACTGACATGACAAAACAATCCACATGACAGATATTGTTACATTAATATCTTAGGCATGTGCTAAGTATCCCTTATGTAAAGCAAGGGTTACAGTATCACAAAGGATCTGGTCATGATGTACAGGGCAAAACTGATGGACATACAGTCAAAAAAGTCATAGGCATTGTGTTGTACCCTACATTTTCCCCACGTCTGTGCAAGTAAGTAGATTATAAGGATAATTTGAACATAACCATTATTATTGTAAAGCCAACGATCTTTTGTATTTTTTGTTTGCGTTTTTGTACTACTTTGGGGATGAAGAAACTTATGTCAATTCTGAGAACTCTTTAGTCTGGTCCTCTGTATGACTAATGTTTTGGCTAGGTTGTTGTTCTGCCTCCCTTGCAGCATCATGTTTAACTTTTGAAGCTCTCACAGTTTGCTGTGTGAAAGTTGCTCAACTTGTTTCCTACTGTGTCCAACCATATGGAAAATTCTTGAAACGTCAAAAGGCAGGGATGGCTTTTAGGGCAGAAATTAGTCCTTGGCTTACATTTTTTTGCTTTAGGTTATGTCATTGATCAGAGCAGAAGCATGTATGTTTTTAGTCCTCCCCTTCAGTTCCTTCCTTGGATGCTACTAAGTGTTACATGTGTCACAAGTTCAGATCTATACTCATTTACAAGATCAGATGTATTCTTATTCGTGCCCTAGTGCTCCCCTCCATTTATGCTGGGAGAAAGGAACTAAATGGGTGTTGGGGGCAGAAAGGAAGGCACCTCATCCTAATAGCATTTTTGCCAGTAGAATCCTCCTTGCACAGGCACAGTTGTGGAATCCAACCATTACTCTCTCACACAGCATCCCAGCCTCCCCATTAGTGCTTAGGGCTGTTATGTTGTTTTGTTCTGGGCATATTGATCTCCTCCCCTCTGCTCTGCCAACTGCGGTTTGTGGCACATCAGCGGGCACAGAGCCCATAGTAATAAATACAACTCCTGCAGAAGGGAAACAGAAACAGTGTCTGAGGGAGAGGAGAAAGTGCTTCTGAGGTTCCTGATTAGATCTGAGTGTGTGTAAATGAGTAAATCTTTGCTTTTGAACAGGAACAACAGAACCCAACTTTCTGACATGACCGTTGATGGGCAGTCTGGCAGACAGGTGACTGGCAAGTTTTTGGATCTCAGACAGTCAGAGCAGCACATATTGCAAGTGTTGCCCCTTTTTGACCTGAGTGACTTGTCAAAGTTCATGGCCCTGGGGCTATTCCAATTGGGAGTAGAAACTGATGATGGAGTCTGGCATTTTCTTTGATGCAATCTTGTTTGTTTACAACAAATGTACAAAGTTCTGCTTCTCCGCAGACAAGTGGAACCAAAAACAGGGGAGAGCTTCTTTGCTTTCAGCCCCAAGCCTTTTTAACCAGCTCAGACTCAAAAAGCTCTCTAGCTTCTTCTAGGGCCATACAGTGCTTACAGGCTTCTGTTTAGATGTCTTCTGTCTCTCTCTCATTTTCTGGTTCTGTGTTCTCCACACACATCCCTCCAAAAAAATCAGCAAAAACCCCTCTGCCCACACAGTCCAAAACTACTGGACTGGTTCACACAACAATTTTATCTTAGGTGAGGGTTTGTGCCAATCTAAGAATAGCTCTCCTTTATTGCTTATTTGGCTGAATTTACTTTATATGCACGTATTTATAGATAAACTATTTGAATGTAATGTGGCAAATATATGAAAATTCTCAATTTAGGATCAGGAACAAATCCTGTTACTTTCTATGTGTTTTGTAATTTTATTTTAAACAAAATTGGTATGGTACACAGTAGATTCTACCACAGTATGGAAAAGCCCTGCATTCCAGTAAATATAAAAAATACTATTTAAATTTTTGATACAGCCTTTAGAATTTTGTGAACACTGTGGAGCAACAAAGAGAGCACCTTCGTCAGCCTAAATGAAGACAGACCATTGGGGTTTGATGAAACACCTTGCTTCTACATACTCATACTGTTGTGGAATGATGAAATTGCGCAGGTGACCAGTGAAAAATATGCTTCATACAATCAGTTGCATGTTTAAAATGTTTCTGTCTGAACCAAATTTATTCAGGACCACAAAGTGGAACAAAATGCTGGTTTCCAAGTGTGCCCAACAGCTTATCTCACAAAGACGACGAATATTTTGACTCTCAGGTCTCTGTCAGTAGGGGGTGGGTTTTTTTAATACATAGTAACCAATGTCATGGAGGAAATTTTTTCTCTGCGATAATTAAATCACTTCTGCATGTCCACATTCCGTTCCTTGTGTCAGCGGTGTGTATCCTCACTACCAGTGCTTGCATTGATGTAGAGAGCAGTGCACTGTGGGTAGCTATCCCACTGTGCAACTCACCACTATCTAGCACAGGGGGGTTTGGGAAAGGTTTACAGTACCTCGTGGAGGCAAATGAATTGCACACAGGTGACTGGGAACATGGTTTCAATATCTCATGATGCAGTTTTCTCCATCCCATAATTTTATTTCCATCCCATAATTAGAGCCCTACCAAATTCACAGCCATGAAAAATGTGTCACAGACTGTGAAATCTGGTCTCCCCCCGTGAAATCTGGGCTTGTGTGCTTTTACACTATACTATACTATATACTGTAGATTTTATGGGGGAGACTAGCATTTCTCAAATTGGGGACCCAAAAGGGGGTTGCAAGGTTATTTTAGCGGGGTCGCGCTATTGCCACCCTTCTGCACTGCCTTCAGAGCTGGGCAACTGGAGAGCAGCAGCTATTGGCTGGGTGCCCAGCTCTGAAGGCAGCGCCCCGCCAGCAGCAGTGCAGAAGCAAGGGTGGCAAATCCATACCATGCTGCCCTTACTCCTGTGCTGCTGCCTTCAGAGATGGGTGGCTGGAGAGTGGTGGCTGCTTACTGAGGGCCCAGCTTTGCAGGCAGCAGCACAGAAGTAAGGGTGACAATACCATACCATGCCATCCTTACTTCTGCACTGCTGCTGGCAGCGGCTCTGCCTGCAGAGCTGGGCTCCCGGCCAGCAGCTGCCCCTCTCCAGCTACCGCAACACTCCCTACAATAACCTTGTGACCCCCTCCCCCCCACACAATTCCTTTTTGGGTCAGGACCCCTACAATTATAACACCGTGAAAATTCACATTTAAATAGCTGAAATCATGAAATTTATGATTTTTTTTTAAAATTCCTTTGACCATGAAATTGACGAAAATGGACCATGAATTTGGTAGGGCCCTACCCATAATGTTTTGCACCTCTTTTCAAAAGCCCCGCAAACCTGCGCATCTGCTATCGCTGAGAAGCATGGATCCTGCACAGCTCTGCACTATTGTGATGAGAGTTGTGAGCACAATGCACCTGATTTTGTAGTATTTGTAGAGCCACCAGAGGAGCTAGGTGGTGGAACAAGACAATTCCTTGGAGGCTTTCTTCTTGTTGGACATAGAAGGAAACAATTCAAGGTTCTTGTTGGCATTCACCGAGCAGCTGCAGACGGTAGAGCACAGGTTCTGGGCCTGAGAAATAGGCACTGACCGGTGGGAATGCAGTATTATGCAGGTATGGGATGATGAGCAGTGACTGCAGAACTTTTGGATGCACAAGTCCCATTCCTGGAAGTGTGAGCAGAGCTCACCCCAGCCTTTTGGCGCACTGACATTGGAGAAGCAAGTGGCGATTGCCGTGTGGAAGCTGGGAACACCAGATTGCTACCGATCAGTCGGGAATCAATTCGGAGTTGGGAAATCCACCGTGGGGGTTGCTGCGGTGCAAGTTTGCAGGGCCATTAATTGCATCCTGCTACAAAGGACTGTGACTCTGGGAAATGTGCAGGACATAGTGGATGGTTTTGCAGCAGTGAGGCAATAGATGACAGGCATATCCCTGTTTTGGCACCAGACCACTCTTCTACAGAGTACATAAACAGAAAGGGCTACTTTTCTTTAGTATTGCAAGTGCTGGTGGATCCCCAGGCTGTTTTACTGACATCCGTGTGGGATGGTCAGGGAAGGTGCATGATGCAGGCATCTTTAAGAACACAGGCCTGTTCAGAAAGCTGTAAGCAGGGACTTTCTTTCCAGACCAGAGGATCATCATCAGGGGTGTTGAAGTGCCAATAGTGATCCTTGGAGACCCAGCCTACCCCTTACTCCTGTGGCTCATGAAGCTGTACACTGGCCACCTCGATAGTACCAAGGAGTGCTTCAACTACAGGCTAAGCCAGTGCAGAATTACAGTGGAATGTACCTTTGGCTGTTTGAAAGACAGCTCGCGCTGTCTACTCATGAGGTTAGACCTCAGTGGAAAAAATTATCCCAATGAGTATAGTTACCTGTTATGTGCTTCATAATATCTGTAAAGCAAAGGGGGAAGAGTTTCTGCTGGGGTGGAGTGGAATGGCTATCTGCTGATTTTGAGCAGCCAGATACCAGGGCTATAAGAAGAGCTCAGCAGTGAGCTATACAGCTCAGGGAGGCATTGAAAGACCATTTTAATAGTGAGCCACAGTAATATGTATTGCTGTAGTGTGCTCTCCCTGGCATTGTGTTTTTTGCACTCGATATGAACCTTGTAATGAGTGCTGTGTGTGTAGTAATATAACATTGCACATGCACCTATTGCTGTTATCTCAAATGATGTGAGAGCCACACAGCATATATTGTGAAATAATAACGATGAATTCAGTTTCCATAACTAAATTTTTATTCCAAACCCAAGCAAACAGACATATTTATAACAGAATGAAACTTTATAAATACAGGGAAAAGAACCTTTGAAGGGGAAAGAACAGTCATTTTCATTTCACAAACACATACACCAACTGTGTCTCTCACAGGTCAGTGTTTATGTGGATGTGATTGTCGTGGGATCTCTGGTTCCCACGGTCAAGTGCTGAAGCAGCTCCTGGGCTGGAGGCTCCACCAAGTGTCCTGCCTCCTCAGTGGTCAGCCTTGAATGACTCCAGCCATATGTCGGGGGGGCTATGGCCATGTGGTGCAAGTGCTGCCCTTATGGATACTGCTAGGCAAAATTCTCTGGCTTTGATGAATTGGGCGCACACGCACACACAAAGTAGAATATGTGGCTGCACCTACTCAAAGAAGAACAGCTGGAATGGGTTTGTGTGACTGGGCTTCTTTAAACCCAGTGAGGGGTTGATTACTGGTGTGTAAAGTATGGTAAAAATGCACACCCATTTGACACCCATAAAGATGCAAAGGATGAGTTTTATTAATCAGTGTTATTGGTATATAAAATAAATGATGCAGTATTGGTGTATTTATCATTGAGACATGATCTTCATAATGTGCCTATACAGCAAAGGCATAAGCCAGGGACCATTCCTCAGTCCTGTTGGGTTCGGGGGAGGTTGGCTAAAGGATCCTTCTGCAGCCTATCGGGAGGATTCACTGAGCCCGGGACTCATAATTACGGGTGGACAACAGAAAAAGTAACAAGGACAGGTGTGAAGGTCAAAGGGTCAAAAAAAGGGAACCTGAAGAGGACACCGAGTGTCAGGCAGTTATGCAGCTATGCAATAAATAAAAGTGTCATCTGGTGGGTCAATGAATAGTGCAAAGGGGAGTCTGTGAAACCAAAGGATGTGATCATTGCACTGGGCACCAAAAGAACAGCTGGCAGGACTGCTGTGATCATAGCTGTATCTTTTGTTGGGTCATCAAGTTTGGGTAAAAAAAGTAAAAATTGTCCTTTTAACAGGACCAAGATTTTGAGTGAGTTCTAAGAAGAAAATATTCCCTAATTTGAGTATTCATTGCTAAGCAGAAAAAGGAATGAATTTTAAAAATATATTTGTAATGTGAGTTGTATAATATTAGAGGTTGTCTTTTTTTTTTTTGATTGCAGGTGCTGTCTACATTTGCACAGAAGATGTTTTCCCAAATAAACGCTTGCAGCAACTGATTGATCAACAACGTACATTTAGGGCAGATGTTCCACTTGATGTCATACAGAGAATAAAATTTGGAAACAGTGTTTTCATTGAGCATGCCGCAGACCTTGTAAGTAACAGTGCAACTTACAAATAAATTACTTGGGAACATTAAATCCAATTAGTGCAGATGCAAACAAATAGTACAGGGGGCCTAACTGTAGATAGGCAGTAGTGCTCACAGAGACGACAAATAAATTAAGGTGATTTTCTCTATATACCAGCTTCCTAATCTCTTCATATTATATTTAGGAGCTGATCCAAGTTTTCAGAGATTTAATTCTCATACAAAGTTTCATTTTGAAAAGGACGAGAGATCTTTACAGACTAACATTCAACTTCTTCCAAAATCCATTATACTTGTTCTAGTATATGAGGCATTACTATTACTTACTTATATTGCAAGAGTGCCTAGGGACACCTCCCCCCACTCTTTATATTAGGCAGTGTAAAAACTCGTAATAAAAAGATGGTCCCTGCCCCAAAGAATTTACAATGTAAGTTTTTAAGACAATAGATAACAGATTGATCAAACAAACAAACAGGATGCGGGGGAATGAAAGGTAACAATGATATAACCATGATAAACAGTAGCCATGGTATATCGGCTGTCTAGTCATTGCCAGTATTTTTGTATGTGTCATGATAGAGGGTTTAGTTTTAAGGAGAGATTTGAGGCGAACCCTGCATACTGAACACTCCTCCCCCAGAGCCTCCTGCACACCATGAAACAGCTGATCGGGAGGTGCTGATCGGTGGGGCTGCCAGTGGGTGGGAGGCGCTGGGCACCAAGGGGGAAGCTCATGGGGGGGCTGCTGACATATTTCTGTGGCAATGTACATTGGTAAATTCTGGCTCCTTCTCAGGCTCAGGTTGGCCACCCCTGATCCAGAGGCTCATCTCAAAGAACTCTGGTTACGGATAAGTAACTTTCATTTTCTAATGGGCTCTAAAGGTTAAAAATATTTATTCAAAGTACTAGATCATTATTTTAAAAATTCTAGGGTAAATATAAGAACATATTGTATATGATGATAATAATATTGCAAATTCTAATCTAAATGTCACATTCGTTGCAGTCCAGACAACAATTGGTGGTCCTATGTTGGGGAAACAATGGTTTTATTCCAGTCCTCTGAAACTATAAAATGCATTTATCATGGAGAAAGTCTGCACAATAACAGCAGGAGTTCTGAGAAACAGCTCATAATAGGATGTACGTAGAACCAAAGCACCCTGCCAAATATAAAATGTTACATATATTGACAAGGCAATAAATTGCAGCAGTAGCTGGCTGTGGCTATGCCTCCCCAAACTGCAGTCACCTCTCCAATGTAGTGTAGACCACCCTTAGTGTACAGTGAACACAGTAAGAAATCTTTCTCGAGGTCATCTATTCTGCTGAATGAATTCTTTTCAGCAGTTAGAAACACAGTTATGATGATATTTGTGTGAAGAGCAAATCAGTTTGGTAAGGTGAATCCTACTGTAATCCAGTTCCAAGAAATTCAGTCTAATTTTGACAGAGATGGAATATAGAAAGTCGTCCGTGTGTAAGACCGCTAATCCTGGCAGAACGTTTATAAATCTTTAACTGTGTATTCCTATTTATGTGTGAAGAATGGTGTCTTTCACAAGAACAGTGCAAGGGTGTCAAAAGAATTCCCTCTTTGCTAAGATGAACAACTGTTACATGTGATAGAAGAAAATTAAACTACTAAGCACCCAGTGGAGTGTAACTTCTATCTAAAATATTTTGGGGACTTCAGAAACATTCAGATGATGGAATTTTGTATCAACTGGGGAGGAAACAGGAGTTTCAGGTGATACTAACTTTTACCAGAAGTTTTGGTTAATAGAGGGTCTGATATAGTACTATCTCAATTCCTTTGATGAAAAAACACTCTTTTCTCATTTATCAATACCCTGAGGTCTTATGCTAGCCTTGAGTTAAATCCTCAACATTCAAGTGAGAATTTGAGTGCAGAGTGGCCATGGAATAGGACTGCACTATCATGTTCTTGGGTAACACTGGAATTTTATACGGGACTCAAAAATCCAGGTCATACTTTTTCTTGACTTCTTATGCCTTGTGCAGCCCCATTTACTTGACTGTGCTAGGCTGCACATGGTGTAAACTAGTGCTGCCGTTGATCTCTTTTTTTGTTGTTGTTGTTTTTTCTTGTGACTACTTTTAACAAACAGACATCAGACCTACACAAAGGAATACAATTGTGTTGTAAAGATCCACAATCTTGGCTTATGAATATAACCTCCCATAAATAACCACAGAGCCAAGCAGTGAAATGACAGGTATCTGTCTTAGAATTTTATAGGTACCCGCATTCTAACTAGTTCTAATGTTGAATGTTTGTATTTTGTGGTAGGACACCTTCTACAACTGCATTGCTAAAAGGATTACCTTACTGCTCTTGAGAGGCGTGGTGCGTTTGGTGGTCATTGATTCTATGGCTGCTTTGTTTCGATGTGAATTTGGAGCAAAAGATTCTGTTATGAAAGCCAGATATCTGCAGACATTTGGAGCAAAACTTCACAGTTTAAGCAGTCGATTCAGAACTCCAATACTGTGCATTAATCAGGTATGAAACCAGAAGTTATTTCCTACTCCGCAGAACCATTGAATAAACAAAATAAAAGAGACTTCTTGAAAAGAACTACAAACAGAAATGAAGCTGACGGTATTCTTTTTGAACACACACTTTTGTTCTATGATAATTTAATGATTAATGGAGGAGTTTTCTCATACAGAAACAAATTCACTAGTATTGAGACATCTGTTGGCCCAAAAGTATTTGTATGAATGTTATACAAGCCAGTTGATACATTCTGAAAGTGAAAACATATTTGTATTTATACAAAAATGTCTTCTCCCATGAAACTGCAAAACCTATATAAGAACTAGGAAAGTCAGTATGTCCCAATATTTTCCTCTCCAACATTTTAGGTTTTTTTAAAACCTAGTCAATTTATGATAGCTCTGGAGGTCTTTATCAACAGAACACATACAACCTAGGCAGTACCAGTGGCCATTATGGTGACTTTGTGATGTGGAACTTAGTCCACTGAAAGCTGGCCCAAGGAAGTCATAGGCTTAATTTTTTGAGTGACGTGGGGAAATAATCTTTCTTTTAAAAAAATATTTGAGGTATTAAAAGAAACTAGAATGAGCCAAACGGGAACAATCAGTACAGAGAACTAATGGAAATATTTTCTTTAAAATTGGGATGAAGTGTCAGATCTTAGACTTGCTTATGCAGCTTTATCTGTTTTTAGCTTGGTTTTTTCCTACTAATATTTTTGGAACAATTTTTACTGTGTTACTTGTATCACGGTAGTGCCTAGAGGTCCCAGTGGGTGCTGTAAATCTGATTTTGCAAGTTAGTGTTCAGTACATTAGGAAAAAAGGGCTGAGTGAGTGAGAAAATTGTCTTGTTTTAAAGAGATATTATCAACTTCGTCATAATGACTAACTGAAATGTTCCAATTGCTAATAAGGCAGGCTTTAAATAATATCCTGAAATTTTTTAAAAAATTATTTGTATAGATGTTTTTTCTCCTCCCCTGTTAATGTTTGCAAGGGTCTTTTTTTTGCTAAGGGAGAAACTGTCTATATAGAGGAGAAAGTGAAAATAACGATATCTAAAGCATTGTCAACTGCACAAAAGTAATCAGACTGAAAAAAGAGAATTTCTCTCACACTCACGCTAACTTTGAAGGGGTCCCACAGGGATCTGTACTATCCCATCTTCTCTTCAATATCTAATGATAGGCGATGTTATTGACCCAGTTGCCAATTAGTATGCTAATGACACTGAACTATATATCTCATTCGTAGTCCATGCAACTGTTACTAATAAAATGTCAGCATGCCTACAAGACATTGGTTCTTGGATGAAGGTCAGCTGGCTCAAGCTGAACCCAGCAAGACCAGTGATGTTAGTCAGAGAGGGGAAACATTTTGAAGGACTAGCCAAGACATTGTTTCTACCTTCCATTGATGACATAAAGCCTCCATCAAAATAGTGTGAAGCTTTGGCTTCTAGTTTGACTCATTAAACTTAGATGACCTTGTACCATCAGTATCTTAAAAACTACTAGTTTAATCTCCAGTTCGTTAAATAACTTTTTCTCCTTTTCTTCTGAACAAGGACCTGGCAACAGTCAATGCATTTGTCATATCTAGGGTAGATTACTGTAATTCACTGTATCTGAAGCTGAATGTGAAGACAATGCATCAGCTCTAGCTGTTACAAAATGTGGCTGTCTGCCATGTCTGTGGTTTAGGAGGCTGCCTTGAGCACAAGAGGCTTATGCTGAAGTCCCTCCATGGGCTCCCCAGTCAACTTATGATGCCAGTTTAAGGCTTTGGGTCCTAAACAACAAAGCAACTAATGGATCCAACTCCATTAAAGACAAAATTCTGTCTATGAACTATCATGACAGCTGCAGTCCTTTGGGACAATGCAGAAAATGAAGCCCAGGATGAAGTTTGTGAGAGCTTGGGATAAAACATTCTCACTCAAGGGGACCAGCTATGGAACAAACTTCCAGAGGAGATTGCGCAAATCCAGAGTCTGACTACCTTTAAGAAACACTGCAAAACTTTCTTCAAAAATTTTTTCCTCCATAATAATGACCCAACAGTGACACTCCCTTGTACCACCAAACCCCTACCATCTAAAGAAAGAAAAGAAAATCTAAAAGATCAAAACCAAAAAAAGCATATTTTTATCCTGAAAAAAGAAGTGCTAGAGATGCCATGAAGTCATCAAGTGGCTTCGCTATTGCCATTGATTTTACATGGAAGGCACTTGGAATACTACAGTGATGGGCAGCAAAAAAAGTACCCTTAGGCAACGTCTTTCAGTTCTAATAATTTTAGGGATCATGTGTAATAATACTACAAGCAATGTTTTCAAACAGAAATGATTCAGCAAGTTGATGGTGGCATCCCTTTAACTTTAGTCCATGATAAGATTGATAAACCTAAACCTAGGGCTCTGCTTCACTAAAATATTCCTAATTTTAAATGAATGTACTAGAAAATGACAAGTTATTTCTATAAGATGAGACCCTCTCCCAATTAGGAGAACCTGTGGTGAGGACGTAGGAGAAGTGAAGTTGAGGCTTCCCTCAAGTTTCCTTTGAATTCTTTTATTGGCAGAATCTGAACTCCGTTGCATGATTCAGGCCCTAAACATAGTGGATTTCTGGGGATGTGAAGCCCCCTCAAGCCTCAGCACTTACTGTAGGACAGAGGTCCCCAAACTGTGGGGTGTGTCCCCCTAGTGAGGTGTGGAGGAACATGGGGGGGGGGGGGTGAGGCTGGGGCCCAGGCCAGCCCCCACAGGGGGCAGGGAGAGAGCGCCGCCGGGATCTGCTCCTGTCTGCTGGCTCCAGGCCCCGGCTGCCAGCCAAGACCCCTGGCCGAGGCTCTGCTCCCACCACTGCCCCCAGCTGTGGCCCAGCCTTAGTCCCATTTCCTCTGTCTGCATCTCGCCCCCGAGCTGCAACCCTGCTCCCAGCTCGGGGGAGTGGGACACAGACAGGGGTAAAGGGGGTGTGAGGTAAACATTTTGGGGACCACTGCTCTAGGACCCTCTGCCCCATCTCCTAAACAGTGCAGTTCCTGCAGAGCCTTGCTTGTCATGGATTCTGCCACTGGCGCCTTGGATATCCTTTAGAGTGGGACTGTGCATTGTGGAGTCGGCTCTTTTTGGCTATTTTCCCAGGGTTTTCTGGGGCAGCTATGCTGCAAATAAAGTGTCTGACAAGGAGGCAAGGGCAGGGCAAGTATGTATCTTTTCAAAACTCAGTTCTGAGCTGAGAAGATTCTCAGTTCTGCATGGGAGGTGGTGGAGGTAGTTTAAGAGTGCTGGTTAGATCTGTCTTGAGAATCAGGGAACTGTAAATTGGCTCTGGCCCGAGCATAGGTCAGTGCAAACCTGAGGGTTCTCTAACCTATCTCAAACGGCTGCTTTCCATTTGGCTATATGCTGCCTGAAGTGGGACATCCTTAAGGGCTACGATCTTATGAATGTGTAGTCTAAAAATGAATGTAGAGTAGCCTGAAGGCTTCTCAGCCAGGTGTTTGTTACTGAACATCCTGGGAGGAAAGGAAAGACAAGACTGAATGGGTAATATTTTGTACTGATTTTTGATAATTTGTGTAGGTGTGCTTAAAAAAAGGTTTCCTACATATTGCAGCAATAGTCTGGGGGAGGAATTTCTCTTATTTTAGTCCAGAGTCCCCCATCTTTGGGGAGCAGCTTTGGATTTGGAATGCTTTATTGGGTTAGTTTCCTGTGCTTTTGGCTGTTTTAGGAAATCTTTTGCCTTTTCGGGAAATGATGGCTCTCCTCCTGTGAGGATTAGCCTCTCTTTTAGGGAAGAGTTCTGTTTTGAGCCTGAGCCTTAGCCCAGACCTTCCTTTTGCAAAGGAATCAGAAAGTATGCTAGATTTCTTCCAAGTGCTTCAGTCACTTAAGAACTTGAGATTGAACTCTAGTGCTTTATCTGTTTAGAGGTGGATTGGACCCCTCAGGTCCTAGTAGTGTTTTGATCTTAGTACTGAAGAAATTGCTCTGGAAGGTCTGGATTGACTCCCAAGAGCTGAAGAGGACTGATGTGCACTTGAGAAAGTGTCTTTAGAGGAGTCTTTGCTGATGTGGCGGGGATGCACAGGTCCCAGATTTATATAGACCAAGTCTCTTTTCCTGGCAAAGCAAGGTTCTGCAGATAGGGAGCAATTGTGGAAGAACTATCCTTCCAAGTGTCCAGAAAGGGTCTCCTACCAGCTGGAGCATTTCTTAGCCTTTGAATTGTTCCATTTGGACTGCTCTGCTGTAAAAAGAAACAAGTGAAGTGCAGAAGCCCAGTGGATGGTTTCATTTGGGGAATAAGGCTCCTGAAATTTCAGACCCCAAAGGCAAAGAAGAATTGGGATATCGGGACTGTTATTACTTGCTATAATCTCAAATTCAGCTTTAAAAGCTGGGAATACTGGATTGCCATTCTACTTAAAATGCCGGAGATAGAATCTGACACAAAGGTGGAAGGCCCATGATCAAGCCTCATGGATGGTCTGTCTCTGGTATTTGCTGAAAAATTGGTTCAAGCTGTGACTAAGGGAATAGTTAGTGTTTAGGACTAAGTTTATACCCCACAGTACCCCTTCAATTTCAGCCTGGATAAGTACCTTTTTTTAAAAATTTAGTTTAAGTAATTTGTGATTCAATATACGGTCTTTTTTTGTGTCACCCCAGTTCCCCACCTTTCCTTGGGTAAATACAAATTAAATATATTCAAAATGCAGCTTCATTCAAATTCTATTTTTTATGATTTAGGTAACTGATACAGTGGATGAGACAGATGTTGCTCAGAGCAATTTTGGGTAAGTAGTTCTCCATAAACTGAAATGTAAGAAGCGCGCGCACACCCACACACAACTTTTCTTTTTTTTTTTTTCTTTTCTTCCCTTTTGTCAGTTTATCCTCAGTATAATATATAGGAACATAGGAATTGCCTTGCCACATCAGACCAGGGTTCATCTCATCTAGCATTCTGACAGTGAGCAGTACTAGCTGTGGAGGAAAGCGGAAGAAATCCTATGGTGGTACAATTATGGAATAATCTGCTCATAGGGGATGGTTTATTTTTGTTGTTGTTTTTTTTTTTTAATCCTCAGGTATTAGTGGTTGGTTTACACTCTAGCACATGAGGGATTATATCTTCTCTTGTCTGTCTAATGTAACTGCGGATGTTGTCATTTTCCATATAAATTTAAACCTTTATTAAAATCCTGTTTTTAAAAAAAAAATTGTAAAGACATAATTAATGAAGCAGAACTTCATTGCCACAAGATACCTTTGAGGCCAAAAGATTAGTAGGATTTAAATAAGGCCTTGGTATTTATATGAATGAGAACATTCCCAGTGACATAAGATCATATTTTTAGAAGAGGAGATATAAATTTTATGTTTCAGGGGCATGACGTTGATGGGGGGGAGGGGTTAGGGAGAAACTTCTCCTTTGGGCAGATTATTCCCTGCCTACTGGAGGGTTATTTCCACTTTCCTTTAAAAAAAATTTTTATAAATGATAAATCAAGAAAAAAAATTGAGGGTGTTAAATCTACCCCACCCTCTTTAATGTTGTCTCTGATGGAGCCCAGGGTAGATGGCCCTGTAATTTGTATTTTAAGTGGTTGAAAATTGTTTGAAGTTGACTTATTGTAATTCTTCCTGGCAAAAGAGAGGATTTGTCAAGACAAATGCCATATCTATGAAGCATTGCAGCTACTTATAGCTGAAGTGAAATTTCTAATGTATGTCTACTTAAAATGAATTAACAATTTAGTGTGAAACATCTTATGTTTCATGCATGCAAAAACTTATAAAACACTGTTTTCTTCTAGCTTATTGGATAAGAAAGTTTCTCCAGCACTTGGGCTAACCTGGTCCAATCAACTGTTGATGAGATTGATGGCCAGTCGAATAACACAATCAGAACAGTCACCTGGAGGTGCATTACAGCATACTGGAAGTGTTTTGAGGACTTTAAGTGTGGTTTTTGCTCCTCATCTCCCTCCGTCCTTTTGCTGCTATGCAGTAAATCTGGAAGGTGTGAAAGGTGTAAAAGTGAAAACCCCACTGTGAAAATGTTACATATCTATCGACTCCAAAGATAGATATAAATGATTGTGAATCAAGAAGCCATTGGCCTATTTTTTTCCATCTGTAGAAAAAAAGATGCCTAACCATGTATATGAAAAATGTTGCTTGGACAATACACTTTTATAACCATATTCTGCAAAAATACAGAAGCCAGTGATAAAGAATAGATTTCTGTACCTACTTTTTAGGTTCAGTTAGGTTTGCACCTTGATGTATTTATCTTGGAAAGAAGGGATCTTAATAAAATATAACCTGCATCTTTGGGATGCAGACTATACTAAATGCTGGCCTGCTTTAAAAACTTACTGAAGTAGGCCAGCTGTACTTTCAAATCCTGACTCTAGCAAGGAAATAGCATGTTTATAAAACTAATGTAAGTAGCTGAAAGTGTGCTGCTCTGGGAAAGGAATAATTCATGAATATAGTACCAAAGCAATACTGACTTGTTACCTGCACTAACACCCCCCCCACCCCCCCCCCCCCCCCCCCAAATCTCCCCCTACCACAACCAACAAAAAACCTTTGTGCTGTTACTTCTAGCTAAACCATAACTGACTTCACTACTTGTAGCAGTGGGGGTATTTGCAGAGAAGAGGACACAGCTACTCCCCTAGCTCCTGTACATTGGCTATAGATTCTATGTAGGTTCTTATACTACTCTCCTCACCAGAGCACTTGAGCAACTTCAAGTAGTTCATGAAGCAGATATTAACATTTGTTATATATGATTCATTCTCTCTGCAGAGGGAGCATTGTGTGTGCAGTGTAGCATTTTGGTAACATTTTAGATATACATACCGCTATGTATTTATATTTTCATTGCAGGCAGCATTAGTAGGGGCAGCATTCACTCCTTAACCCCATTTACAAGAAGCAGATATGGAACATAAGTCTGAAGTTTATGTTTACAACAGTTATTGGCTGCAGATGGGAATAAGCTGTAATATAAATTGGCTGCAAAATGTATAGGCTGATCCTAGCTAAGATTTTTAAAAAGCTCATTTATCATCAAGCAATACCAATATAAATTGAACTGTATGGGATAAGTTAGTTTGCCTAAGGCAAACTGGAAAGAATTCATTTTAGGTTCTACTCCTGCCTTGTTTCTTTCAGCAAAGCTGTCCTGCAGTACTAGTTTAACTTTTAACCAAGTCGTATTTTACTATATCTCTTTTAAAATAAAGCTGCCATAAGTAGTGTACAGGAATGCTTGATTTAACCACTTACTGAATACTACGGGCATGGAGTTGAAGCTGGAAAATACAGATGTTGCATGCTACTGTTTGCTAGAAGAGAGGTAGGTAGAGCATAGAGTGTGAAGGTACATTTGTTTTTTAAGCTTCCACAAAAAGAAAGGTTACATTTAGTTAGCATGGCTCTTTTGTTGCTCATTTACAATACTTCTATCTCCCTGACTAGTGACTCCAAGGGGAGCTGTTGTACGGCGCTTAATAGCAACACTGTCAATTTGATCATCTTTTAAATTAAGTCCTCTGCTAGAACGCTCTAAATGGCATGTCCCAATACTTTTAATTCCATTAATTTCCCATTCCCTGCTGAGAGCAGTGCCAAAACTAACTCAGGCCTTCCCATTCTGTGCAAACTCTTGCTTCTTCACTTCCAGTTCTTCTTGTGAACACATGCAACATCAACAAAACAGTGAAATGACAATAGCAGTATTCTCAGTCATGCACAAATGGATCATAAAATCATTAGTGCTGGCCACCGGAGAATTCCCCCATTATTCCAGATTCATAGATTCCCAGGCCAGAAGAGAACATTGTCATCATCTAGTCTGACCTATATAAACTCAGGCTTTGAAACTTCCCCAAAATAATTCTTCAAGCATATCTTTTAGAAAAACATCTGATCTTGATTTAAAAATAGTCAGTGATGGAGAATCCACCATGACCCTTGGTAAATTGTTCCAATGATTAATTACTCTCTCACCATTAAAAATGTACAACTTCTTTTCAGTCTGAATTTGTCTAGCTTCAACTTCCAGCCATTAGAGCATGTTCTAACTTTCTATGCTACACTGAAGTGTCCATTATTAATGGTTTGTTCCCCATGTACATACGTTTATACTGTAATCAAGTCACCCTTAAATTTCTTTTTGTTAAGCTAAATAGATTGAGGTCCTTAAGTCTGTTATTGTAAGGCATGTTTTCTAATCCTTTAATCATTCTTGTGGCTCTTCTCTGAATCCTCCAATTCATCAACATCCTTCTTGAATTGTGGACACCAGAACTGGATGCAGTACTCCAGCACCAATTGCACTAGTGCCAAATGCAGAGGTAAAATAACCTCTCTACTGCTACTTGAGATTCCCTTTCTATGCATCCAAGGATTGCATTAGCCCTTTTGGTCACAGCGTTACACTGGGAGCTCATGTTCAGCTGATTATCCACCACTACCCTTAAATCTTTTTCAGAATCACTGTTTCCCAGGATACAGTTTCCCAAGCTGTAAGTAACCTTTGTCTGGCTCGTCCTCGTCCGTCCCTCCACGAACGCAAGTCGATGCCAGATCATTCTGTTTTGTTGTGAGCACATTCTTTCCATTTCTGGCCAAAGAGTTTTGTCATGAGATCAGCCCAGTGTGTTTTCCATCTGCCCAGCAATCACTTCTGGTTTCTGGGGATCTAGTCATTGATGCGGGTTGTCTACCTATTGTCTTGCCTGTGGACTACCTGACCTGCCCATCTCCACTTTGCATCGTACATCGCCTGTACTACATCAGTCATCTCTGTACGCCTTCTGATCTCATTTGGTATATGATCATGGAGCGATAGCACATTTGCCTTTCCATTGCTCTCTGGGTGACAGCGAATTTTTCTTCCTCCACTTTTGTTGTTGACCAACTTTCCGCTCCATATATCATTGCTGGCAGAACAGTGGAGTTAAACAGTTCTTTCCTTTTTTTCCATGGGCAGTTCATCATTATTTTGTTGAAACTTGCCCACCCTGCCTTTCTCCTCCTACTGCATTCCCCTTCGAGTGAGTTGTCTCTGTTCAGCTGCTGACCCAGATAAATATATTTATCGACCTCCTTGATTACTTTCCCATTTACAGTGATGATTCCTGCTGCACAATGCTCATTCCGTATCCTCTTCATCTTCGACGTGTTCACTTCCAACCTGATATCATGCAAAAGTATTTGCAGTTGCTGCAATTTGTTCTCCAGTTCTGCATCCTTTGCCAATATTACACAATTGTCAGCAAAGAGAAGATGTGTTAACTGTTCATCAATTCTGATTCCTTCTTCCCAGTTCAATTTCTTGAACAGAGACTCCAGTACTGCTGCAAACAGCTTTGATGAGATTGTTGTCTTATCTGATTCCTCTACATATAGTAGTAATGCAGGGGACGTTGAATAATGTTATCTCTGTTGAACAATTGCGGATAATTTCTTCTAGCAGTACCTTTTGGGTCAATTCCAGTTTCGTTGAGTGCGTTGAGCAGAGCGTTAATCTCCACTGAGTTAAATGCCTTTTTGTTGTCGACAAATGCAATACAGAATGGTACTTTGTATTCCTTGCATTTTTCCATGAGCTGCCGAACTGAGTGGATGTGGTCAATTGTCGAATACCCTGAGCAGAAACCAGCTTGTTCTCTGCTTTCATACATTTTAAGATCCTTCTTAATCCGATTGAGTATGACACTGGTGAAGACCTTATACACTTGAGAGGAGTGTGATCAAACAGTAGTTGCTCAATTCTTCTGGGTTGCGTTTCTTCATCAACCTGGAAATATGGCCTCCATTCTTTGTTCCTACATGTATACATTTAAATTTAGCTACATTACAATGCATATTGTTTCCTTGAACGTAATTTACCAAACAATCCAGATCACTCTGGATCAGTGGCCTGTCCTTTTCATTATTTACTACTCCCCCAATTTTTGGGTCATGTGCAAACTTTATCAGTGATGATTTTATGTTTTCTTCCAGATCAGTGATAAAAATGTTAAATAAGCTAGTGCCAACAACAGATCCTTGCAGGACCCCTGTAGAAACATACGTGTTTCATGATGATTTCCTGTTTACAATTAAATTTTGAGACCTGTCTGTTAGTAAGCTTTTAATCCATTTAATGTGTGCCATGTTAATTTTATATCTTTGTAATATTTTAGTCAAAATATCATGCGGGTATCAAGTCAAAAGCCTTTTGGAAGTCTATTACATCAACAGTACAGTAGAACCTCAGAGTTACAAGCACTTTGGGAATGGAGGTTGTTCATAACACTGAAATGATCTAGTGAGTTTCTTAGCCAGCTCTCTTAATACTCTTGGATGCAAGTTACCTGGACTTGCTGATTTAAAAATGTCTAACAGTAGCTGCTGTTGCTCTTTCTGTTCCGCTAATATTTCATGAGGAATGTTAATTAACATGACTACATCTGTTTTCCCCAAAAATACAGAACAGTAATATTTATACCTTTTCTGTATTAGTAAGAATAATTCTATCATTTCCATCTAGTAATGGACCAATATCGTTCTCCTTAAGGAGAAATCTGTGGCTAGCAGAGTTATGTCCTTTTGCTTCCTATTAACGTTCCCTTTTCCCTTCCATTTGTTTGTTTATTAATCTATATGGCTATATTTATATACCCTTCACTTCCCCTCTAAACCGGGCTGGTTATGGCTGCCTTCCTCAATTTTTGGGACAACTTAGGTAAAAATCTGTAAAGTGTTCTTAACCGATTCCCAGTTATAACTCACATTTTTCTGAGTTAGTTCTTCTTCACAACTTATCTGGCTAATAATTATTTTCAGCTTTGTGAAATGGGCCATTTTAAAGCACCAAATATATATATCAGTGGCCTGGACTTCATACAGTTTGCACATTATAAATGTGATCAACTCATCAGCACTTATACTTAAGCCAGGCCTGCACAACATACGGCCCGCGGGCCGCACAGTGCAGCCTGCAGGGGGTGAGTAGGCAAGCTAACGGCCGGCTGACTGGCCGGTGGGTGGGCAGGGTGGTGAAGGGGCCAGTGTCAGGCTGGACGCTGGAGAGTGAGGGTGAGCCAGTGGCAGGAGGCGGGGGCAGCAGCAGAAGGTAAGAGGCCAGGCAAGTGAGCTGGCGGTGAGGGAGGGGGAGGGCAGGTGAGCCGGGGGGCAGGTAAGCCAACGGCAGGGGGGCAATTGGGAGAGGGAAATGGCAGAGTGCTCCTGACAGTCCCAAATGTTCAAGTAACTGCCCCAGGGTGGTAAAGAAAACTGGGTCATTAAGGCTTGACAGCCTCTGGGGGGAATCACTGCTACTCCCAGGACCAGACAGGCTGCTGTGTTTGGATCAGGGGTTCATGTGGCTGTCATCACTGCAGGAACTGCTTCCATGGACAAGCCATGTTAGGAGGACCCTTAAATGTATATTTAACTTCTTTCTATCTTGCAGTCAGAAGAAGCTGGCCCCATAAGCACACACCCAGCTCTCTGGACTCAGTCCCACCAC